AGGTGCTCTGTCCAGGAGTACATTCCTTCTCCTCGGCTCTGCAACAAGTGCTGGAGGTTTGGGCATGGTGCCCTCCGCTGCTCCGGGACTGTCTCTCTCTGTCCTTTGTGTGGTGGCGAAGGTCACTCTTAAGTCGGAGTGCGCTTCTCCCCAGGCTCGTTGCCTCAACTGCGGTGAGGCCCATCCTACCTTCTCCCGTGCGTGTGTCCATTACAAGCTTGAGGCAGCCGTCCTCAACTTGAAGCACCGGGAGCGTTTATCTTTTCGTGAGGCGAGGCGCCAGGTTCGCCGGCTCCCGCCTTACGCTAATATCTCTTATGCTCGCGTGTTGCGCTCTTCCTCTCCTCGTCCTTCCTGCCTTCCTCAGACTCACAACCGTTTCCAGGCCTTGGACCCTGATGCGCCCACTGCCCCCTCCTCTGTCCCTTTGGGTTCTCTCCCGAAGGATCCTCCTCCTGGTCCTCTGTCTGGGGTTCCCCTTCCTTCTACCCGGTCTGTCGTGTCTTCTGTGTCTCCTTCCTCGTCCCCCTCCGATCCTCCTTCCCATCCTCTTCCTCCATCTATCGGCTCTCCCCGCCGCCTGTCGGTGCGGGCGGATGTCCTTCGCTCTCCTAATGGCCGTCGTGTGTGCTCTCGTTCGGCTTCTCCTGTTGAGACACTGGAATCAGTTGCCCGGTACGTCGTTGCTGGGACACCGGTCTCTTTAAGTCAGAAGCGTAAGCCTGGCTCCTCTCCTTCCTCTTCCCCGGCGGGTAAGAAGGCTTCGCTTTCTTCCTCAGCTCCTCCTTCTGGCTCTGTTGCTCCTTCCACTCCCGTTTCAGTGCTTGCGCCCCCTGTTCCTGCTATGGAGGTTTCTTTGGCCCCTGCTTCCCTTTCGGTTGCATGCTCTTGCTGGGGTGCGCTCCTCTCTTTCTACTCCCCCTCTTCCTGCTGCTGTCCTTGACTGCTCCTCTCCGTTGTCTCCTCCTCCTCCTCCTCCGGACCCTGCCCGCCCACCTCTGATCTGTTCTCCCGTTTCCTTCCCTCCGTCTTTGCTCAGTTTACCCATGCCCCCTAACCCTGACTTTGCTGACCCTGATCCCGACCCTGATATTCTTTAACGTGCTCTGTTGGTCTTTCGCCTTTGTTTCTTCCTTGTTCTCTGTTTTTGTCCTTTCTCTTCTCGTCGTTGTCCATTCTTCAATGGAACGTTCGAGGTTATTACGCCAATTTCCTCGAACTCCAACTTCTGGTTTCGCGGTTTTCGCCCCTTTGTGTCTATCTCCAGGAGCCGATGCTTGGTGCTCGTCCTGGTCGTTTTCGTGGCTATTCCTTTCTCTCCCCCCCCCCCCCCCCCAGCCATTGCTGGGGCTTCTAATTCTTCTGCTCTCTTGATTCGGGCTGATGTTCCCTTTGTTCCTTTACTTTTTCCTTCGCCTCTCCATTGTTCTGCTGCTCGTATCTTTGTGGGGAAATGGTACACAGTTTGTTCCATTTATCTCCCCCCGAGTGTCCCGCTCTCTCTTCCTGATTTGAAACACCTCCTAGACTCCTTGCCGGAGCCTGTGCTCCTGCTGGGTGACTTCAATTGTCGTCATTCTCTTTGGGGTGACGTTCTGACGAATACCCGGGGTCGCCTCCTTGAGCCGTTTCTCCTCTCTTCTTCCCTGTCTCTTCTGAATTCTGGTGAGCCCACTCATTTGGACTCTCGAACTCGCACCCTTTCTTGTCTTGATCTTTCTCTCTGCTCTTCTTCTCTTTACTTAGATTTCACATGGCAGGTTCTTGATGACCTCCATGGAAGTGATCATTTCCCCATCCTTGTTTCCTTTTTCTCTTTTCGCCCTTCCCTCTCTTTCCCTAGGTGGCAGTTTGCTAAGGCGGACTGGACCCTGTTTTCCCTCAGTGCTACTCTCTCTGACCTCTCCCTTCTGCCCCTCTCTCGCGCTCTCCTCCTTTTTCATGACACTGTCTTCGACGCTGCCCTCCGCTCTATTCCTCGCTCTTCCTCTCGGGGTCCACGGAAGTGCGTTCCCTGGTGGAATGCGGACTGTGCTCGGGCTGTCCGCTGTAAGCGTGCAGCCTGGAAGAAGCACCGCCGTAGGCAGACAACCGATTCTTTTCTTTTCTTTCGGAAAGCGAGTGCGGTGGCCCGTAGGGCCATCCGTACGGCTAAACGTGAATGTTGGGCATCTTATGTCTCGACAATTACGTCCGAAACCCCTCTGGCCCAGATCTGGAAGCGTATCCGCAAGATAGCGGGTAAGTTCGTTCCCGATGTTTCACCGGTCCTTCACCTCCATGATACTCTTGTGGCGGACCCGTTGCAGGTCGCTTCCGAACTGGGTTCCCACTTTTCTTCTGTTAGCTCTGGTCTTCATCTTCCCCAATCTTTCCTTCTTCGTAAACCTGTCCTTGAGTCTCGTCCTTTAGATTTCTGCACTCATCTTCAGCTTCCCTATAATGATCCCTTCTCTCTCTCTGAACTTCGTTCTGCCCTGGCCCTCTGCGGTTCTACGGCGGCGGGCTCCGATGGTATTCATTATGAGATGCTTCGCCATCTCCCTCCGAGCACGTCTCAGTATTTACTGAGTCTGTATAATCGGATCTGGGAGTCGTCGTCAGTCCCTGAGGACTGGCTCGATGCCGTTGTCCTCCCTGTTCGCAAACCAGGGTCTCTGGGTACTTCCCCTAAGGACTTTCGCCCTATTGCTCTCACAAGTTGTGTCTGCAAACTCTTTGAACGTATGGTTAACGTTCGTCTGATGTGGTTCCTGGAACACCATCACCTCCTCTCCCCTTCTCAATTTGGTTTCCGCAAGTGCCGCAGCACGACAGATGTCCTGGTGAACTTGGAGGTCTATATACGTACTGCTTTTGCTGCGAAGACCTCCGTTGTTGCCGTCCTTTTTGACCTAGAAAAGGCTTACGACACCACTTGGCGTTATCATATCCTATCTCAACTTCATTCTTTTGGCCTTCGTGGTCATCTCCCTCTCTTTCTCCGCAGCTTCCTCTCTCGTCGTTCCTTTCGGGTGCGCCTTGGTACCGCTCTCTCTTCCCCCTTTTCAGCAATACGAAGGTGTGCCCCAGGGTAGTGTTCTGAGCACTACTCTTTTTCTGGTTGCCCTCAATGGTCTTCTTTCCTCTCTTCCTTCTGGTGTCTTCTCCGCTCTCTATGTCGATGATCTTACCCTTTGTTGTCAGGGTGATGATTCGCCTCTCCTTCAACGCCGGCTTCAACTTGCGATTGATGCCGTGTCGTCTTGGGCCACAGGTCATGGCTTCAAGTTCTCTACTTCTAAGACTTGTGCCATGACTTTTACGCGGAAACGGGTTGTTCTTCGTCCCTCTTTGTCACTTTATGGTCATCCCCTTGAATACAAAGATTCCGCGAAGCTTTTGGGGTTATTCCTTGACACTCGTTTGTCTTGGCCTCCCCATATCTCTTACCTCCGTGTTGAGTGCTCTAAGTCCCTTACCCTCCTTCGGGTCTTGTCCCATACTTCTTGGGGGGCAGATAGGCGCACTCTCCTTGCTTTACATTCCTCTCTCGTCCTGTCTAAGCTCGATTATGGTTGCCCTGCTTACTCGTCTGCTTCTCCTTCTACTCTTCGCCGTCTTGATGCTTTGCACCATACTGGGTTGCGCCTCAGTTCTGGTGCCTTTCGTTCGACTCCCGTCCTTAGCTTGTATGTTGACACTGGCTTCCTGTCTCTCCAGGACCGCCGTGATCGCTACTGTCTTCGCTATCTTGCGCGGTCCTTGCAACATCCTTCCTCTCGTCTCTGTCGTGCTTTACCTTTTACCCCTCCTGCGGTTCCTGTTCCTCTTCACCACCTCCCTCTTTCTGTCCGGTTATCTCGCCTGCAGGATTCTCTTTCCGTTCGTATTTCTGATGTTTCTCCTCGTGTTGTTCCTTCTTTGCCCCCGTGGAGGGTCCCTCTTCCGCGGTTTTGTACATCCTTGACTCGTATCACTAAAGCTTTTACCCCTCCTACAGTTCTAAAACGCCTTTTCCTCGAGCACTTTTCTTCTCACTCCCGCTCCGTTTCTGTCTTCACCGATGGGTCTAAGTCAGCGGACGGTGTTGGCTACTCTGTTGTTTTTCCTGATCGCACTTATATGTGTCGCTTGCCTCCGGAGACTAGCATCTTTACGGCGGAACTTTATGCTATTCTCTATGCTCTTCGTCTCCTACTTTCTCGTTGTCAGTCTTCCTTTGTGGTTGTTGTTGACTCTCGTAGTGCCCTCATGGCTCTCGGGTGCTTTAATCCAGTTCATCCGGTAGTTGTCGAGATCCAGCATTGGCTGTTTCTCGTTCACAGTAAATTTAAGTCGGTTGAGTTTTGTTGGGTTCCCAGCCATATTGGCGTGTCTTTAAATGAGCGTGCGGATGCTGCCGCTAAGGAAGCTGTCCGCTCTTGTCCCATCTCTCGTAAAGGCATTCCGTATTCCGACTTTTACCCGGTTATCCATTCCCGTTGGCAGGCTTCTTGGTTGTCTGTTACTGGTAACAAGCTACGTACTCTTAAATGTTGTGTTTCCTCGTGGCCGTCCTCCTTCCACCGTAACCGGCGGTGGGAAACAGCTCTAGCGAGGTTGCGTATTGGCCATACTCGCTTAACCCATGGTCACTTGATGGAGCGCCGCCCTGCTCCTTATTGTCCTAGTTGCATTGTCCCTCTTACGGTCGTGCATGTCCTTCTTGAATGTCCTGACTTCCAGGACGAGCGTGTGTCTTGCTTTCCGACCGCCCCTCGCGGTCACCTGTCCCTCGATAGAATTCTTGGTGACTCGGATACTTTTGATATCGTTCGCCTTATGCGTTTTTGTTCTCGTATTGGCATCCTTGGTGATATTTAGCGCCCTCTGATTATTTTGCGTATTTGATGGTGCTACATAGCCTTCCCGGTTTGGTGCCTTCTTTTGATAATTACTTACTTACTTAAATTGTCTTGAAAAATAAATTTACGTCTTTAACCCTAAATTTCAATCATGGTTATTTGATGGTTTTTCAGGTGGTGTACATTGCTAGAGATCCCAAGGACGTGGTTGTATCGCTATTCTATCACTTCTGTAACGTAAAGTTCCACAACTATACTGGCACCTTCGACAACTTCGTCAAGCATTTCATGAACAATGATTGTAAGTAAATCAGTTGTGGTGTTTGAGAAGCCTCGACAAGGTGGCACAAATTAAATGCTCGGATGAAGCTAACACGATCAGAACGTAATATTTAAGGTGTAAAAAATACTATTCATGCGACTTGTTATATCATTGCCAACACATTAGTACAGATTTTACAAAGTGTAGCACCACACGAGGACAATTGGTATGCTAAAAGTCCCCCCCCCCCCCCCACACGGTCATTTAGTATCCACGACTCCACAACTTGTGTATTTGGCAGCTGCCAGTTAACTATAGGTGCAAGTTATAATTTGTTTCCATCCAGGGCATAACTTCGTAAATTGTTACGGTTGTTAGTGCTTGTATTTGGTAGTTTTAAATATTAATCTTTCCGTTCTCCTGCTGAATGGTAACTTTAGTGTTGAAGAGGCTTCTATACTGGGCTATAGGTCTGGTGGGTTACTAGACACTTGGTAGTCTGTTTGGACAAATTGGCAGATGGATTAGAACCTGACGTTGAAGTAGTCTATTGCCTTGTACCACCAATGTGTATGCTGGTTTACTTTTGGTTTACAACTTTGGTGTCGTAGTACGATGGCAGTTTAATTGCTGCTCCTACTTGATTTACTGGTATACTTGGACTTGTGGTTAAGCAGGCATAACATCGGCACATATGGAATCTGGTGACATCTACTTAGTTATTGACCTGACCTGTTATCTTAATTAGACGTGTGTTCTGCATCAGGTCATGTACCCCCATGGTGGACCTCATGGTGGACCCCATGGGGGGCCTTACCAGCTATGCAGCAAAACGTGTTGTTTTGGACTCGTAATTTCCCTAAAATCGCAAAACGGGGCCTTTTCTAACACCTGAGAAACCCTTTCCCAATCCTACTTTCTGCCAAACGTGTTGGTCAATATCATCTTGGTCACATCACCGATGACATCAGATGTGAGTCACATCTGATACACAACGAGGTTGCCTCTTCCGAACATGTATTCCTTAGTGTCTTTTCTCACTCAAATTTCTTGCTAATCAGCCTACGATCACGCAAATTGGAGCCAGGCACGATCCTCTATATCAGGGTCACTGTGGTGATGAGGAAATACTGATAACACCACGATAACAGGGTTGGTGATGAGAGGCACGGCCGCCACCACCTAACACGTCTTGCTCTCACATCGCCGGTCCTAGACTGCCTTTTGGCGGCCTAGGGGACTCGCAAGGACGCCCCCCACCTTGCCATGACCAATTAGAGCAAAGCAGGCGAGCCTACGATGCCACTTCCAAACACGGACGTTCCCGCCCAAAAGTCAAGAGGCTGACATGCCTCGACGAATGAAGTCCTTGGCCTTGTGGCATCTCGTGACGTGGTACAGGGTGGGGGAGGCCCAGGAGGAGGATGACTTCACATCGCACAGGATGGGGGGGGGGGGGAGGCGACGCTGCCTGAAACCGTTGGCTGCCAGTTTAAAACCTACCTCTAAACATTTCTCGGTTAAACCTGTTAAATCTTGTAACTCTTCCCACAGATCAGTTGGACTTTCTTGTAGTCTAAATACAGCTCTCACTTTGGGGTTTGTGCAGGCCTTCACATATGGGCATGTAGTGTGAGAACTTCTTTTCTCTAGCGTGCAGCACACTTTGGCCTAATATAGAAAAACTAGCAGAGGAAATTTTCAGTCCCTCACACTGGGTAGTGTTGCCGAGGAAGTGTGATGTTCATAGTATTCTCTCCTGATAGCACTTGGCTGACGAACTCAAGATGTGTTGATGGGTTGGGCGTTTGATTAGGACTTCAAATGGTGGCAGAATCTTGCCAGTCTGTTAAATATCATCCTCGGACATGTTCTGTATTCGGTATTTCCTTCTTTATTGGAAGGAAAGCGTGTAAATGTTATAAGTAGGCGAATCCAGCTTTGTGTGTGTACGTAAGTACTCGACTAGTTGTGCTTGCGGGGGTTGAGCTTTGGCTCTTTGGTCCCACCTCTCTACAGTCAATCTACTCTTGAACAGATTCCTGAGCTTCTGAAGCGCCCTCATATCTACATTTGAGGTTGTATATAGTCTGCCTCCACCACATTCTAGTGCATTCCCATTACCAACTACTGATACTGAAAGTTCTTTCTCAGTCTGTGGCTCATTTGGGTACTTGGCTTCCACCTGTCCCCCTTGTGAGTGTACCACCAGTTTTAAAAAAATATATCCTTGTCTACCATGTAAATTCCCTCGAATTTTGTATGTACTGATCACGTGTCCCAGAGCTCTTTAGTCTTCCATCTACGTGAAGTGCAGTTCCCTCACCCTTTCCTCGTAACTTGTGCCTCTTGGTTCTGGGACTAACCTAGTGGCATAAATCAACTTTTTCCGTCTTCGTCTTGTGCTTGGCAAGGTACGGGCTTCATGGTGGAACCGCATACCGTGTTCAGGTTTGAGTGTTGTGCAGTGTTGTAGGTAGGTACCTTCTGTGTTTGGACAAATGGGATCAGGCTGCTCTAGCCAGTTAGCGTAGGTGGTTAGTATTGGCCACAAGTGCAAGTATTTGTTTTTTCTTGACAGTTTAGTTGTAGTTCTCCTCGGTAGTAGTGTAATAGTGTACGATACTGCGGTCTGCAATAACTCGGTGTAGTCTTGAAATTTTAACTTCTAAATAATTATCAAATATTAATGTTCTTTAGCTAATTGCTTCAGTATCAGAAATAACTGCATTTTATATAGCTTATTATACAAGTATATTTTGGAGATAACTATATATTGCGAAATTTAATGGCTTAACCTTTTATTTACCCATGTAAAACATAGTTAAATGTAATTCGTATCTACAGTGTTGTACTGTCCCTACTGGCCCAACCTGATGATGGCCTGGGGGCAAAAGGATGAGATCTTTTTGCACTTTGTGTTTTATGAAGACTTTAAAGCTGACATAAAGAAGGAACTTGCAACACTGAATGAGTTCTTGGGCACCAAACTCTCCCAACAGCAGCTTGATAATGTAAGTCATGATTACTCCTCCTATTAATGATTTCACATCTCGAAGTTAACTCACGGTTTTAGGGGGTAGCTCACGGTATAAGGGATGCTGGCCTAAGTTGACTCAGAACTAGTCTGGAGTAAATATTTTATCCCACTTACCGAGTGGGGGGAGGGAGGTGTTGCCCCAGGGCTGTTCTGGGACCTATTTAGCAATATTATATTTTTTTATGGTGACATTGATACATCATTATTTGCTAATGTTCAAACTATAAAAATCGGGCAGAACATGAATTGTGAACACACAGGACAAAAGACTACCTAAGGTTTAAAAATCTACGGAAGACTGGCAGAGGGAGTTCATACATTGAAGAAAAAACAAATGGAGGGTTGTAGTGATAAATACCAATCGCTCATTGGAGCTTTGAAAGTGTAGTGACGATTAAAATAACTACATCTATAGTTACAGATTAAAGTGATGTGATGGAAGTATGTGAATGGTGGAATGGGAGAAGAGTAATAAACCTCGTATGAATATAAAGTACAATATACTGCACATTACTCATTGGTTTAGCTTAGTATCGGGAGACCTGGGTAAGACGCGACACGGACTGTGTGCCTAGTTGTACTCGCCTAGTTGTCTGCAGGATCGAGCATTGACTCTTGGATCCCGCCTTTCGAGCATCGGTTGTTTACCGCAATGACTCCTGTCCCATTTCCCTATCATACCTGGTTTTAAAATTATATATAGCATTTGCTTCCACAACCTGTTCCTGAAGTACATTTCATTTCCCCACTACTCTCATGCTAAAAGAAAACTTCCTAACATCTGTGACTCGTCTGAGTTTAAAGCTTCCATATATGTCCCCTCGTTCTGTTATTCCGTGTGAACATTTCATCTATGTCCACTCTGTCAATCCCTGAGTATTTTAAAAGTTCCTATCATGTCCCCCCCCCCCCCCTCTCCCTTCTTTCTAGTGTCGTAAGGCACAGTTCCCTCAGGCGCTCCTCATACCCCATCCCTCGTATCTCTGGGAAGAGTCTCGTTGCAAACCTCTGACCCTTTTCCAGTTTCATTATATGCTTCTTCAGATGGGGACTCCATGATGAGGCGGCATACTCTAAGACTGGCCTCACTTAGGCAGTGTAAAGCGCCCTAAATGCCTCCTTGATCTTGATAAAATTTCGGGGCTTTAGTGTCCCTGTGGCCTGGTCCTCGACCAGGCCTCCACCCCCAGGAAGCAGCCCGTGACAGCTGACTAACACCAGGTACCTATTTTACTGCTAGGTAACAGGGGCATAGGGTGAAAAACTCTGCCTATTGTTTCTCGCCGGTGCCTGGGATCGAACCCAGGACCACAGGCTCACAAATAGTGTGCTGTCTGCACGGCCAACCGGCTCCCAATCTCTGGCTCCGGCTCAGTTGACTACTATTGTGCCTAAGGAGCCGACCGGCTCCTTACTTAGGTTTCTGAATGATGTTCTAACTTTTGCCAGTGTAGAGTACGCTGCTGTCGTTATCCTATTTATGTGCCTCAGGAGATAGATTAGGTGTTACATCCACTCCCAGGTCTCTTTCGCGCGTCGTCACGGGTAGGCTAGTCCCCCTTCATTGTGTACTGTCCCTTTGGACTCCTATCTCCTAGTCCCATTTCCATAACTTTACATTTGCTCGTGTTGAATTCCAGTAGCCATTTCTCTGACCATCTCTGCAACCTGTTCAGGTCCTCTTGGAGGATCCTGCAATCCTCATGTCACAACTCTTCTCATCAACTTTGCGTCATCCGCAAACATCGACATGTAGGACTCTACGCCTGTAAACATGTCGTTAACATGTACAAGAAATAGAATTGGTTCCAGCACCGATCCTTGTGGTACTCCACTTGTTGCTGTTCGCCAGTCAGACTTCTCGCCCCTTACCGTAACTCTTTTGGTTCCTTCCTGTTAGGTAGTTCCTTATCCATGCTAGGACCTCCCCCCCCCCCACCCCCACCTGCCTCTCGAGCTTGAACAGCAGTCTCATTTGCGGTACTGTGTCAAGGCTTTT